ATGAAGAGAGATTACAGCAGTTGTTAGAGGAAAAAGAAAATAAACAAGAAGAGAGATTACAGCAGTTGTTGGAGGAGAAACAAAATAAACAAGAAGAGAAATTACAGCAGTTGTTAGAGGAGAAAGAAAATAAACAAGAAGAATGAGAAAAGAAACAAGAAGAAAGATTACAGCAGTTTAAACAAGTACAAAAATGCCAGGTGGTTGGTCAAATTTACCGAGCCCATATTGAAAGTGTTAACCAATAGTAACATGACATAATCACACGATGCATGCGACTCCCTCTATACTCCTCTACTGAATCTTCACTTCAAAGTTTGTCAGAAAGGCAAGAAGAGTGAGGAGAGGAAAGTACCTATGAGAAATAAATTTTTGGTATAGGAAAATTATAACTTTAGCTAGAATCCCACACTGAAAAGGAGGAGGGACCAGTGTGAGGGAATGAAAGAAGTACCCTCAAACGTGTTCGATGGATACCTCTGACCGTGAGAGATATAATCCAAAGATCAGAAGGGGGAAATTGCACCACTTTTTAGCCAGGAATACTCTTCACTCTTGTGTAGTGTGTGTCATGTACAAGGGAAGAAATAATGAGGTGTAGAGTTGCTAGGGCATGTTTGACCATACTCGGTAAGTCAACTATATCTAAAATATCCCCTTGTGGATCATACCTTCTTCACCTCAAACCCAAGAATCAGGGATTAAGATCTGCACAAATTTCTGGGTATGCCAAGAGGATTCTCACCATTTTATCGATCCAGGAATATACATCCAGTATCAAAAGGATGTCGATCACATATATAATCAATTCCCCCATCCATGTCATAAGCCAGCACCATCCAAAGGCAATACCATCTCCATAAGAAGAGAACAAGGGATAGTCAAGAAGAGCACCAGAACAATCCAGCATAGTACCACTGTGACTAAAGACACAAATGGAGCAATTAATGAAGGAAAATAGACAACCTGTACATGTTGGAGGACTTATGTTGATCGGGTCACTCTAATCTAAAACCTCGACACTGGAAAACAACTTCCATGCAAAGGTAGGATAAGGTCTTCCAATCAAAAGGGTGAACTGCAATTGTGACAGCTCAACTCCAGTGGTGATAAATGTTAGTAGGAGGCCATGTCATTGTGAAGGTCCCGGCTCAACTCCAGTGTGGTTATGTAAACATGATCAGGAGGCCCTGCCAAACAGCAAGGTGATGGCTCAACTCTTCTGGAGGCCACATCACATTTACACCAGCAGAACACCATCATCCTACTCTCAACTGAATGGTTTGAAGTTTTTATGTGTGGAATGCAGTGGAGAGCTCAGAGGAACGTCATCAACAGAGACCACAAAACCCCATTGGCAGGGATGAGCAGCAATCCCCTTCTGCTTTACCCATGTAGTCCATGGGTTGTATGGTCTGGAACAGGCATGTTTATGAAGCAACATATTGAGAGGTAAGAAACCACCAAGCAATCTTGTGGAACACCCCATCTGTACGATGAACGTGTGAAGCCATTGATGAGAGAGCATGAGTCAACATAGCAGACAATGAGGATTTAGAGTAAAAAAATACTTGGTCAGGCACCACTTGCCACAGAGCAGGATCCATGATAAAGAGGGAGAGAAAAGGCCTCTGAAAAAAAAAATCACCTGTTAAAGTCACACCGAAGTCTGCACAGAGGCCATAAGTGGTAGACGTAACCCAATGCAGAAGAAAGCATGATATGATGAAAATAGTGGGAGATAAACGTACTGCAGTGGTCTGATTGTAGTCTTCTCCATCGGATGATGAAGAAGACAAGCAATGGAAAAGGTGAGATGTCTGGTCTGATGTGAGGAAAATGGATAGATGTATGGGAGAAAGAAGGCAGGGAAGAGTAAGCCAAATGAACCAAAAGATGGACCCAATTTGTAAGAGTAGAAGGGGAAAGATCACAAAGTGAGGATGATTGCCAGTGGATAAAAATATGATGGCATGTACCCTGAAAGGCAGCAGTAGGTGTGATATAACAATGAAAGGCCCTGACCAGACACAGAAGTCTATCTGGATCTGGTCTAGGGTAAAGAATTCGATAGAGAAGAAATAGAAATAGGAGATAAGGAAGAACAACCCTCCCGACCTGCCAAGGTGTTGGGAAGAATGGAACAATCGGGATAAAGGAGAAGATAAGTAGGGTGATATAGGGTACATGAAATGTCAATGATAAACAAATTGGATCATCGACAACCACAGGCCAACAGAAGAAGGAAATATGTTTTCAGGGACAAATGAAACAAGGAAAGCGGTTCAAATGGAGGTAAAGTGAGGGCAATTAATGTACCAATCTGTAAGGGGAGGACACCTGGGCAGCCTCCAAATCCTGAGGGAACCCATGAGCCCTATAAGAACAGGAGAAAGGAAAATTCTATGGTATCAGGAAAAATGGAGGTATGGGATAAGACCACCCGATATCCAAAAAGAAAGGAGATCAAAGACCCACAGTTGAAAATTCAGATGAGAAATTCCATCACATGAGCCACAGAAGGCTTGTCAGCAGGAAATTGCCTGTTAGCAGACCAACAGCAGAAGACTTTTTACTGGCCCTGGTATACTTACATGGAAAATGGCCATAAGGAACAGCTAACAAGGAGGCAACTTGACATGTGAGACTGGATCATCTTGCCAATGACTGAACAAAAGCCAGTTGTGCAAATCGAGGACAAAGAGATTGGGATGTAGAACATGGGATCAAGGTTGATGAAGAAGGTAGGGAGATAGTGGAAGAGGTACAGGTGGTGATAGGAGCAGACACTGTAACCTGGGAAACAAGATAACACTGGTCAAAAAGGAGTGATCAGTGAGAGGAAAGGTTCTATAAGTATATAGTTTTTGAAAAATAAGATATTCAATTTTGATTTTTTCTAAAGCAATGTTTTTGTTATGCCTTTCTTTCTTTTCACATGTTGCCTATCCAACATGTAAAGTAATTTTCATGTTAAGATTAAAAATATTTATATGCATCAGAAAATTTTCAAATTTCAAATCCGAAATCCTTATAATGTCCAGTTAGTTATCAAACATTTCTTAAGAAAAAACTTTATATTTTATCTGTTATTTTCAATTACGAATATCTGTACAGGTTTGGTCGATTAGACCGATCTCAACCACCATAAAAAATTACAAAATAAATATAAATGATGCCTTTCTTGTTCTAGAATGACTACAAATTATAACATGCACTCATGTTACTGTATCCAATCACATAAAACTGACCTTTAGTCTCTACAAAGTGGCCTGTCTTGGCTGTGTTCTAGTGGATTAGTATTTTTATAAAATACAGTCACATTTCAATTATTATACATTATATAATATATATACAGATTATTACTATTTACAAATAACTTCATAAACTTATTTTCTTAAAATATAGAATAATAAATAAAGAAGTAAATCAGACAATTATCTCTTCTAGCTCCAACCTTTGCACTCAGTTGCTGCTTGTCGTAGTTTGCTAAGCCTTAAGAAACTTCGTACATGGAGGACATTAAATGAAATAATTTTTTAGGTTCTATATACTATCATAAAATACCATATCCATACCACAGAACTCGATTATAATTTATCAATTTTAGTAACTAAGCTG